ATTATTGTTCTCGTAATATATATCTACTGGAGAATATGTGTTGGAAATACTAAGATATGTCGCACATACCAAAAATATTTACAGTTAGGAGTACCCTTGAAAGGTACATGAACTAATAGAGTTAAATCATTCCTCTAAATATGAAATTGGCTTCGAACTTTATTGTCTAAAAATCAATAATTTATACAGTAATAAATATTCGAACTCAAATACAAAAAAAAAAAAAAAAAAAAAAATAGTGAAAGCACACACCTATTTACATTAGTTCTGTCTTCTGTAAGACAATATCTATTCGCTCCTCAAATTAATTTATTGTCTTTCTCCTTCCTATGGCTCTTATGCCACAAGATGTGCCGTACTTATTCCCTTATAAGCATGTAAATGATTTTTATTCGATAAATTATTCAATAGATTTTTTTTATTGTTTGATGTGAATGATATAATACTCTCTCCAAAAAGTTAAAATTTAATTTTTCACATGCACCTTCGCAAGTATTTCTTCAATTATTTCTCTACATTATCAAGGAACATTGACGCAACTCTACTGATTGATTGTAATTTTTCCGTATGTAATTATTTAAAAAATTAATACATTTTGAATCTTACATAAACTGTAAGCATGTTACTACTTTTTCAAGAAATTAAGAAGCCAAAATTAGTAAACATATTTGATATTCTATCATACTAAATGGAAAAAAAATGTACAATATATATTGCGAAAATACGTTACTTAGCGATGAGTGCGATAAATAGCCACAAATCTTTCGGATGAAGTCATAGATTTCCTTCCATGTAATAAATGGTAAATGCCTCGTACTTCTCATAAATGCAAGACATAATTGTACGGCTCCATCATCATAGACAAAATTGGAGAACATAGTATCTAGTTTATTAATATGAAAAAGTAGTTTGGCATAAGAAACTTTTATCTATATACCTCATCTTCATTACATTATGATGAGTAGTCTTATCAATCAAATGGAACCACAAACTATGGAATTCCAAGTAAGCATGAATTTCGGACTTTATCTTGAAATAATATTTCTGAACTTATCACAAACACAAAAACAAAAGGAACTTAATTGAACATAGATAAGAAAGTTGCAAGATTTGTACCTTTGATTGTTCATCTCATGGTAATATTGAAAGGCTTGACTGCGAAGAGAAGTAAGCAGTGACACTAACTTTAATATAGTAACTAATCTGAAAGACACCCCTTCAAATAAAACTAAAATAACACCACTTCAAACAAATTTGATAGTTTTAATTATTTATATATTTATTTTTAATAATTAGGATATTTAAGTTAATAAGAAGGATATTTTAGTAATTTAATTTTTTAATTAAGAGCTTTCTCGCCACGTACGTTGCACGTGTATGCCATGTCAAGAAGTACAAAATTTTGTAAAGTTATATCAACATGCCAAGTCAAGAACTTCAAGATTTTATAAAGTAATATCAATATTAATAACATAAAATTTTTAGTAAATAATTATACATGAAATAATAAAGTACAAATTAATGTGAACAAAAATGTATTGTCATAGCGTGACTTGTTTGTCGAGATCAAAATGATTAGATATCATTTGCATCTATAAAGATGAAGAATCAAAGTTTAATTAAATATTTTTTATCATAAACCTCAACAAATTTATTAGAAAATAGTTACAAGTTCAAGTAGATATGGTGGTATTTAGTGTCTTCTAAAATAGAAGAATTGTTTTCTGCCATGGTTCGGTTCTTTGGTTTCGCGGGTTACGACTTCCATTCTTTACTTTCTTAAGGTTTACATTGTAGTTCCGTTTGTTGGACTTGTATTTCTTTCAATCATCAAATACGAAGAAAGCGATAAATTCAGTACATCAAAGCAGTATTGATTATGGGGCCCTCAAATGGCGTATACCATTAAGAGAAAAAAAATAACAAAAAATAATGAGAAAGGACACAAATCAAATGCCTTCGAAAAAAATAAAAGTGCAATTTTTTTTATAAATGCAAATTTTACAAAAATCACAAAAGATAATATATATAATACATATACAAATTAAAATAAGTAAAATTAAGAAAGTAGAACCCGTTTTTATTGTCACATTCTCTTTGATGTCGAATCCGCTTAAAAAAATGCATCATCCTCTTATCGATGAGTATTCCCATCCCATTTAACTTCGAAAAACTATTCATTCATCTTTTGTCAAAAGTTTACTGGAACAATTGACAAAATGAGGTTATATCATTGGTCATTGTTACTATTTATTTCAAAGCATTCACCGGAAGCCGTGTATTCAAAATATAAAGGCAGACAAAGTGATCCAACAATTCATAACACTTTTAAGACGTTTCGCTAACCGTTGCAAAGTTACAATTGGATTTTTAATCGTTTTCATATAATGTTTTTAGATTATTTTAAATAGTTACTAATTAGGAAACTTAGATTAATAAGAAGGACATTTTTGTAATTTAACTTTTAAGTTAAGGACTTTTTGTTTTTAATATATATATATATNTTTGTATAAGTATTGTATTCCACATTCGAATATTGTGTTTTTTATAGTTGAATAGTGTATTCTAAATTCGAATATTATTGTATTCCAAATTAGAATAGTGTATTCCAAATTAGAACATTATGTATTTAATTAGCGTTAAGTTATATATTCCAAATAAGAATATTGTGGAATGTTGGTTTTCAATATTATCATCTAAATTAGAATATTGTGAGTTTTATTTAGAGATGAATATCATATTCTTATACATTACAATATGGATTGACTAATGGTAGTATTGAATGAATACTTTTTGAATTAATGGAATATTGCAGTTTTAATTTTGAATACCAACATACAACAATATTCTTATTTGGAATATTGGTATAAGCCGCATATTTGTGATTCGTGGGTATTCTTCTCCTTCATTGCTATACATAGCGGAATCTCTGTGAACTCTGAGTTCCTCATTTTCAATTCAATGTAAAGCCGAACGCTCATGTCGTTAACCACTTTGATTGGTGAATACCTTTCCTTAACCTTGCACTTAATATCAATCAAGTTTGTACCATTGCGAATCCCTATATGCTTTGCAATTACCTGCACCAATTCATCATATTTGCAACCAAAATGGATAATAACTCCGTTAATAGAATAATTCACATAATTGCCTTTATCCCATACTCCATCATATTGAATCATGATTGGTATATTTTCCATTGCAACTGATGAAGTTTTATTGAATTACATAAGACTTGTATACTGAAAAAAAGAAATATGGTGGAGAAGAGGAATAGGGTTTTATTAGGAGAAAGGTGAATCTTAATATTCTCTACGTACATGTTTCAGTAGTTATGGCTACATTTAAGGGATATTATCACCTAAAATATTGGTAGTTACGATTCTGTATATCACTAATTGGGATATACGAAGTAATTAATTAAGGACTTCCTATGTAAATTTCAAACTTAGGCATATAGAGAAAAGGAATTCTATAGGTGGGTATACGGTGTTATTTCCCCTAAATTCAGTACATCAAAGCAATATTGATTATGGGGCCCTCAAATGGCGTATACCATTAAGAGAAAAAAAATAACAAAAAATAAGGAGAAAGGACACAAATCAAATGCCTTCGAAAAAAAATAAAAGTGCAATTTTTTTTATAAATGTAAATTTTACAAAAATCACAAAAGATAATATATATATATACAAATTAAAATAAGTAAAATTAAGAAAGTAGAACCCGTTTTTATTGTCACATTCTCTTTGATTTATCACTTTGATGTCGAATCCGCTTAAAAAAATGCATCATCCTCTTATCGATGAGTATTCCCATCCCATTTAACTTCGAAAAACTATTCATTCATCTTTTGTCAAAAGTTTACTGGAACAATTGACAAAATGAGGTTATATCATTGGTCATTGTTACTATTTATTTCAAAGCATGCACCGGAAGCCGTGTATTCAAAATATAAAGGCAGACAAAGTGATCCAACAATTCATAACACTTTTAAGACGTTTCGCTAACCGTTGCAAAGTTACAATTGGATTTTTAATCGTTTTCATATAATGTTTTTAGATTATTTTAAATAGTTATTAATTAGGAAACTTAGATTAATTAAAAGGACATTTTTGTAATTTAACTTTTAAGTTAAGGGCTTCCTGTTTTTAATATAATATAGATTATGGATTATACTTTAAAAAGGTGATTTAAGATTTTTCTTAAGAGAGTCAAAAGTTTATAAAGATGAATTCAACAATATCAAATTTACAGTCTAATTCAACGTCGAAATTGATTCTCGTTTCAGCTACAAAAGTATGACAGCGGGATACAGTAATGTGAGTAATTTAGAGGTACATACGGCTATTATGTTTGTCCACTGTGACAAATGTCAGAATTAAGCTGGACTTAACCGTAAGAGGAAAAGGCAAATATAAGATAAACTTAATTGTGCAGGGCTTAGTTACATGGACCAAAAGGTAAATATAAGACAAATCAAATATTTCAGGAGTAAATTTGAAAATTTTCTCAAAAGGAAAAGAAAAATGGTTTTGTTTATTTACTTTTAATGGCTAACCCACAGTTTGCTAACAGCCGCACTAACCTTAAAACATACGTAATATTTATGAGGAAATAAACGCGTAACATGTAGTGGGCGTTTGGACATAAGAATTGTAAAATTTTAAAATAGGGGAAATTTTTTTTCAAGTGAAAATGGTATTTGAAATTTAGAGTTTTGTTTGGATATGAATATAATTTTGGGTTGTTTTTGAAGTTTTGTGAGTAATTTGAGTGAAAATTTTGAAAAATAGTGTTTCAGAGTTTTTCAAATTTTTAAAAATTTCCAAAATACAACTTCAAGTAAAAATTGAAAATGTTATAAAGAAAGGCTGATTTCGGAAAAAAAATTGAAAAAAAGGAAAGAACTTCTTATGTCCAAACGGGCATATATCGAATCTTATGACTGGTGGACACCAAGAGTCGTCCTTTTTATTACGTATTTTCTTTCCACTCGTCATTTCATATAATTAAAACAACCACGATTCACTGATACATCACAAAATATGCTGCCACTGTCATTTGGTATACTGATTCCCATCAGCTTCCTTCAAACTCCATCATTTTCCTATTTCTTCTCTCATTCTGTTGTCTGAAAGGTCTTAACTTCTTTCCAAGAAAATTCATTAGCTTAAATTATTTGTAGAGTTCTCAGTTGGACTTTTCTATATTATCAAGATTCTTTTGAATCTTTCACTAAATTCTCTAATCCATGAAAAGGTTATTCTTATTCCCAGTATACGATTCTGAATTAAATACCACAATATCCTTTTGGGTGTCATAAAAATCTCATCCTCTAGTCATTTGCACCTCAACTACTTGTATTGTTCTGAAGTTGTGGAAATGGAAACTATATTTCCTACTTCATCAAGTTGGATGATGCAGCAGAACAAGAGCTCAATATGGACTAAAGAAGAGAACAAACTGTTCGAAAGTGCTATCGCGATATACGATGAGAATACTCCGAATAGATGGTTTCAGGTGGCAGATATGATCCCTGGAAAGTCAGTGCTTGATGTGATGATGCAATATCAGGAACTAGCTGCAGATGTTTGTGACATTGAAGCTGGATTGGTTCCAAATCCTGGTTATTTCGCGTCTTCTGATTGTGGATTACAAACATTTAGAAAGAGAGGCAGGTCTTCTGATCAAGAAAGAAAGAAAGGTGTACCATGGACAGAGGAAGAGCACAGGTGAATATATATCGTTTTTGGTTTGTTCTTAGCACCTTTTTTTTTTTTTAAAAAAATTGGTTAATAAAAGTTAGTTTTTGTTTATTTGATCGATATAGGCGATTTCTAATGGGTTTAGACAAGTATGGAAAAGGGGATTGGAGGAACATATCCAAGAAAATGGTAATCTCAAGAACACCAACACAAGTGGCAAGTCATGCTCAGAAATACTACCAGAGACAGCTCTCAGGATGCAAAGATAAGAGGAGACCTAGTATCCATGACATTACCACTTTCCATTTCGTGGCCGACGACACATCTCAAAACAATATCAATTCAAAGTTGCACAAATTCACAACTACAACAGATGTAGTGAAATACTGGAATAGCTCAAGTGATGAACATCTTATGTCTTATGGAAGTTCAACTGTGGCATACCCGTATGAGCTTTCTTCACAGTCTTGGGATGGACATGGAGCTATATGGGATTGATGAGGGGCAGGGTTGAAAAATGTCTATCTAGCTAGGATTCTGTTTTATGCTCTTGTTGTAATATAAATCAGGTTTAGTTTGTTATAGTGTACCAGTCTAGTTTATTTGGCTTGAATTTCAGTCTTCGACTAATAATTTCGAGTCTTGTTTCATTTGATCATGTAAACATATGCGTCTGCCCACAAGAGAACCGAGTGTACTAGTCGCTGCTTATGTTTGTAGTCACGACTGTTGTCATAGTTAATGTCTAATTACTATAAACTTGTGAATCTTTGTTTCCTTTATGAACATTACTTAAATGTTAAATACACATTATGTTTTCTGGTTTATTTCAGCAATGGAAGCTGGCAAAGGTTCTGTTACTCTCATTTTGTGTATGTAGTGATGGAACGGGCATTGCATGGATCGGGTCGGATCGAATTTAGCACATTCCGGATTGGATTTCGGATTCTAGAAAATGCAATCCGAATCCGATCCGAATTAATATTGGATCGGATCGGATTTTAAAGTTTGGATCGGATCGGATTTTCGGATTTCGGATCACATTATTATGCCTCAAAGTTGCAAACTCATATGTATATTTTCTTTGTAAAAAAGGCAATACAGTAAGAAAAATTCATGTTTCTGCAATTATGAGAGTACTATGGTACCAATATAGCTAAATCCATCAATTGTAAATGTAATAACTTGGGAGGAAATGTAAAAGAAGTACTAACTATCCGAAATTAAAGTTTAGTATTTATACATGCCATAATAATTTCGGATTTCGGATCGTATTAAAATTATACCAATCCGATCCAATCCGAAATCCGAAATTTTAATAAACACAATCCGAAATCCAATTCGAAATCCGAAATCCGAAATCCGAAATCCGAAATTAAACGAATCGGCTCGGATTTTGGATATCCGATCCAATTGAACAGCCCTAGATGGAACTATTGGTTGTTGATTAATTTTTCTATCTTTTCCTAGCCAAACACAAAAGTGTAAAAAGTTTCTGTTTTCTTTTGCAATAATTTCCAAACATTTCCATATTGAACTTTGTGACAATTACTTCGGCTCGAGGTTTCCACTAGCTAATAATACTAGTACCACTTTTGGAATAGTGCTGGAACCTTTTTTCTTTTTCTTCTTTTTATTAACTATTGGCAAAAACGGGGACCTCTTGGCTTGTGTTGTGCATACATAGACCTTGCCCTTATTTTGTCCATTTCTTAAATTGACTCCAAAACAATGAAACATTAGGCAAGAAGCCATGTCACTGAAAGCAGAGACCAATCCACTCAGGCTATCTGTCACTTTGCATTATTTGAAACCAGAGAGGTATACTCTTTAACATGGTATGGTACTGTTCGATTTAATTAAAATCGCAAAGTTTTCTTCAAAGGTCATATACCATCAAAAGATTTTTTATACCTTACATATACTCCTTTTTCTTAGGAAAAAAGATGCAATTTGGCCAAGTTGACTGGGTTTGATCCTGCAAGTCACTTTTTGTTGAGGTTGTATTCCACTAATTTCAGAATCACCCCTTTTTGTTCGGAATCATTTTGTTCACATTAGGATTTACTACTCAAGAGTATTACCATTACTGATTTCGTCCGCTTTTTCCTGTTACTGCATCACGCATTTGCTTGTAGTATTATTCTTACGCTATACCGTTTCACATCTAGTTTAAACAATTATTTTGAAGAGCTGCCCTCAAATTCAAACAAGAAACTAGTATAACCACATTTTTCTTCTTTTACTGAGAAAATTAAATCCGTCCTTTGCAAGATTAAATTCATAAACTTTGTTATCTTCTATATGTCTATCTGGCAAAAGGGAGCCTTGGAGCAACAATAAAGTTATCTCTGTTTAATCTATAAGTCACGGATTCGAGTCATGGAATCAACCACTGATACTCAGACTGCATATATCACACCTTCTTGGGATGCAACCCTTTCCCCCATTCCGTGTGAATCCGAAATGTTTCGTGCACCAGGCTGCTCTTACACATCTATCTAGCACATTACCCCCTAAGCACATAGAATTTACGTCACATGTATGTTAGATAGTATTTACTAGCCAATGTTAGAACATGTGCAGCGGAAGCAAGCAGACAATCCAGGTATCACAAACATATAAACCAGACAATGATATAATTCGGAGATTAGAAGCACTAACCTCTTAAAAACGTTGCACAGGTCCTCCACAGAGCAAGAATCCAAGGCTGCAGTCTTTCGCTATGCTCCTTGTAAGACCTTGGACGAAATTGTTTTGAGTGGGCAAAACAATACAACTCTGAACTGTCTTTCTTAGGTCACAAACAATCTTCCTTTACTAATTTTGAAATTAAGCCACAATAGGGGCTCAAAGACATGCAGGATTCTGCTAGTGCAAGTAGAATCCTACTCTAACTCAGAAAGATGACTTTTTTCCCAAGTCACTTTTTTACCCAAGTCGGTCTAGGTTTTTACTAGGTATAACAGGGACCACTGAAACAGTAAGAGACTACCAATTATAATATTAATTCGAAATTCGGATGAATTAAATCCTACTAATTAATTGCAGTTTATTCCACTAAAAAACTGTAATTGAACTCCTCAATTTAAATTTTGAAATTCATTAACGCTTATTTTTAACTCCTCATATTAAGATTACAAATACCAGTTAATTAAACTAAATCACTGATAATTTAATTTAATCAACTAATTAAATACGTTATAATTCCGCTTAATTTATTTCATGTGACGGATACAAAATTCACCGGCCGGATTTTCACATGAAAACTTATAAGCTTACATATAGGGGTATCATCAAACTCAAAACCGATTCGCGGATTCTATCAACTAATTATTATTTCACAAATGTTATTCGTTATTGTCCAATCTATTAGGACTACACTAACTCTGAATAGAGTTGTACCTTTTGATAAATCAAAACAATAAACAAATCACATTGATCATAATAACTATATCAAAATTAGGAGTATAACCTAATTTACTGAATTAGAGAAAATATTTTATATATATTCAGTACAAAATATATTTTCTCTACTTGGTCCGTTCAGTGTACACTAAGTATACTAGCATAAGAACTTGGAGCAGAATCACTCCCATAATCAAGATAAATTATACTTTAATCTTGTGCATCATCAAGATACTTTGCCCAACAATATCTTCTATTGTGAACATAGTTTATTAATTATGAGAACCGATAATTTAACCTTCTGTGCATGAGCTAAGACTCCATACACTAAATTGTCTACTACATAACCAAAGGACACACATGTAACAAATTATTTGTTTAAAATAATACTTTATTGAATTGAATAAATCACATAAACAATTGTTCCATAAAGAATAAAACTTAATACTATATCCAAACCGCATGGTTAATAATATATCCCAACAATCTCCCACTTAGTCTACAACTCTAATACCTATTCCTCCTACATGCTTGTCAAAAATCTTCTATGGCAAGCTCTTTGTCAATGGATCTGCCAAATTGTTCTCTGACGTAATCTTCAACACTTTTGCATCACCTCTCTGAGTTATGTCCCGAATTAAATGATATTTACGCTCAATATGCTTACTCCTTTTATGGTTTCTTGGTTCCTTCGAGTTTGCAACTGCACCACTATTGTCACAATAAAGTACAATTGGTGCTTGAACCGAAGGAACTACATTAAGCTCTTTTAGAAAGTTCCCGAGGCAAACAGCCTCTTTAGCTGCCTCAGAGGCAACCACATATTCGACTTCCATGGTGGAATCAGCAACACATGATTGCTTGATGCTCCTCCAACTTATGGCTTCATCTCCCAAGGTAAAAACATATCCTAAGGTAGATTTCTAGAATCTATATCTGACTGGAAATCTGAATCAGTATAGCCAATGGGTGCAAGATCACCTGAGTGATAAACCAACATATAGTCCCTAGTCCTTTTTAGGTACTTCATTATATTTTAACGACAGTCTAATGTTCTCCTCCAGGATTAGACTAAAATCTACTACTCATGCCAACAACAAAGCAGATATTAGGTCTAGTACATAACACAACATACATGAGACTTCCTACAGCTGAAACATAAGCGACCACCTTCATATTTTCTGTCTCATCGGTTGTTTTTGGGGACTGATATTTTGACAGAGAGATTCCATGCCTAAAAGGAAGAAAACCTTTCTTGGAATCTTGCATGCTAAACCTGGTGAGAATAGTATCAATATAAAGTGGTTGGGATAAGCCTAATATCCTTTTGCTTGCGATCTCGCATAAGCTTGAACCCAAGGGTATGTGCCGCTTATCCTAAGTCTTTCATATCAAAAACGTGAGGACAACCATACCTTTATTGCATTCAACATGCTCACATTATTTCCTATGAGCAAAATATCATCTACGTACAAAATAAAAAATGTAACTTTATCTCCATCTCACTTCTTATAGACACAAGACTCGTTTTCACATTGTTCAAAACTGAAAGTTTTAATCGATTTTTCAAAAGAAGTATTCCATGCCTTGTTTCAATCCATAAATGGATTTCTTTAATTTACACAACATGTTCTCATTGCCACTTTTTATGAAACCAATTGGTTGTGCCATATAGATGCACTGATCAAGACTTCCATTAAGAAAAGCCTTCTTTACATCCATTTGCAGAATCTCATAATCATAATGAGAAGCAATGTATAAGAGAATCCTAATGGATTTAAGCATAGCTATTGGCAAAAAAGTTTCCTCATAATCAATCCCTTCTTTTTGAGTAAACCCTTTTGCAACAAGCCTAACTTTAAAAGTTTGCACTTTTCCATCCACTCATCTCTTTTTCTTATAGATCCATCTATAACTAATGGGTTTGATTCATGTAGGTGGTTGTACAAGATCCCAGACTTGATTGGAGTACATGGACTCCATTTCAGATTTCTTAGCAACAACCAATTTATCAGCGTCTGTGTCCTGTTGTGCTTAATCGTAATTAAGAGGTTCTGTATCAGACTCTTCAGATCATAAGATTCTCCCAAGAGCATAAGCCGGAGAGGTTTTTAATAATTCTCCCACTACGACTAGTCACTACAGGTGCAGTTTGATTTTGTTGTTGAACAACAACATCATTTTCCAGAACTGAAGCCTCAATGTTATCCTCCATGCCTTGCGGTGCTGGGATATCATTAACTTCTTCTGGGAGTGTAGGCTGCACAATAATTCAGGTTGCTCAACATTACTCCCACTACTTTGGGGGTAATTGCTTTTGTGCGTTCTGCTGCCTATTGACATTTCTCCCACTACGATAATGTAGTGGTATGTCAATA